AACCGAACTTCATGCAAAAGACCGGTAATCATGCACCTGGATGTCCGTGCGGCTCTATAATGCACCACCTTCATCCCAACTGACGCCCTTCCTCCGCATGTCCGGAAAAGATCAATGCACGGCCAATATGAGCCCAAGGATTGGGCTGCAGCGTAGAGATCATTCTTACTAATAGCGATCTGTGAGGTTAGTGCAAAAACGCACGATCGCACCAGAGAACCTGGTGCGTTCCAGCCTGGGTTTGAAAATGACCCAGCTGTTCAATGAGTAATTTTTTGGTCGAAAATTTAGGTGCTCATACACGAGAACCACGCGCACATGGAGGTTGAGTTTGAAATCTTTAAGTCGTATTTGGATGGGGAATATTTTCTTAAAATCTCAGCTTTCCGGCTTTTCTGGTTCCCGAGTTAGCATTTTTCCCGCCAAAACTTTCACAGAGCCGCATATGACCTGATAGCATACCTGGGGCTAGCTTTGGAATTTTTAAGTTGTATGTAGGCTGGGGACATCTCTGCCAAAAAAGTTTCATGAGGCCGTACGTAAAAACCGCGCATGCCTGGGGCTGGATTTGATAACTTTGAGTCGCACATGGGCTGGGAACATCCCCTGAAAATTTCGGCCTTCCAGCTTCGCTAGTTCCTGTGTTAGCCATTTTCCCACCAAAAAATTTCACGGGGCCAAATACAAGAACCACGTAAGACTGGAGACTGAATTTGATAGGTTTGTATTATACTTATGCTGGAAGCATTCCTTAAAAAATTCAGCCTCCCAGTTTTCCTGGTTCCCATGCTAACTATTTTCGCGCCAAGAACTCTCACGGGGCTGTGCGCGGGAAACATGCACGCCTGTGGACTGAATCTGAAGTATCCAAGTTATATATGGACGGGGAACATAACCTCAAAATTTTAGCTTCCTCTCTTTTCTCGTTTCCGAGTTATCAATTTTCCCGCCAAAACTACACCCTCTTGTATGCGCGGCTCAGACTTGCGTGAGAGTTGGTACCGCGGTTCTGGGGTGGCATTTGTCCGGGGAACCCACTAGCAAAATCTTGGCGCTGGAAATTGCTTGGTTGTCGAGTAGAAATACCCGAACAGACGAAAATACACACACACAGTCAGGGTCGTTGCAATATGCGTTTTTGCAGTTTGCGTAGAGGCAAAAACGCATAAAAAGCGGCCGGCCGGTAAACGAGAATTGTTCATTTCCTTTTATGCAAAATATACAATGATTTACGCAATGAGTACACAAGGTAAATGTAAAGCAACAACAATTTAAGCAGATAAGGACCTAACTGATTCAAGTCTAGTGCGAAAACCCACGATAGCACAGGCAAGCCTGGGCGTTCCAGCCTGAGTTTAATTCGTTATCTGGCATTCCAATAATAATAATGATAATAATATTAATATTAATGGAGAACTGAAATATAGCAAATGTAAATTCTAACATGCCTA